TCCCTGTCGCTTAAATCTCGGCCAAAGTTAAAAAATCAAATTTTTCAGGCGGAAATTTCCGGAGGTCATGTGATATTTCCGTAAATCGACGCCTAATTAAATTTCCTGATGTTGTAGCAGCTAGACATCAAATTATATTTTACCTAAGTTCCATTGTGAGCTCAACTTCATTGAAAACTTTTGAGGTGCAGCTAAGAAGTTTAGTCAGTTACATTGTGATTATTCGTGAACAGGATTACAAAGAACAGTTCCATTAGCTCTTGCTTCTGTTCTACTTATAACTATTCGTCAGTATGTAAGAAAGACATTTCGATATATGGATGTGTATCGAAAAGGTTTAACGGGGCAGGCAGCTAAATTTGCTGTTAAAAAATACCGTTCACATTGCCGAGTTTCTGATTCAGTTTTAGAATCATCAATTAATTAATGTAAAAAAAATAAAAAAAAATAAAAAAAATAAAAAAAAAAGAAAAATAATAATTTTAAACATTAAAGATTTGAAAAGAATTTTTTTTAATAAAGTGAATTTTATTTTTTGTGATGGATTTAAAGCATGATTAATCAATTGATATCACGAAAATAATTTAAAACGTGATAGATAATCGATATCGCTAACGTGAGATATAAGACAAATGATTTATAATGTGACCAATATCACAAGATGGAAAATCAACCAATTAATGATTGGAAATTCGATCACGTTATCACATAAATAATGTGGCCAAAAATCTGGTTTAATAATAAAGTTGTTCAACTTTGAATTGCTACTACTCCATTAAAAATTGCTTTATCAAAAATTTAAAAATGTAGGATGATTGAGCTTGGTCTGTTCTATCACCCCAAGGTTTTATTTTGTGTTTACTTTCCTTTTTGAGCAAGGAGTAGTGATTTGAATATTGTCAATTTTATTGGTTGGGACTAAGTTGTATGCACTGTAGGAAAGTTTTTCACTTTTTCAATTTTTTCATTATTAGGTCTAATTCCTTTTCAAGTAATTTCATGTCCCAGAAATTTAATAAAGTATAAGAAGAAGTGGCATTTGTTTTTATTCAGTTTTAACTTTGCTTTTTGTAAAGTTTTAAAAACTGTTTTTAAATGAGCAACGTGGTTATTGAAGGTTTGAGAGTAAATAATAATATCATCAAGGTAGACAATTAAGAATTTGTCAATATATCATGCCAATACTTTATCTATTAACCTTTGAAAGGTTGCAGAAGCATTGTAGAGTTCAAAAGGCATGACATTAAATTCATATAGTACATGTTTAGTAATAAAGGCAGTTTTCTACTTATCATTCTCCTTGACTGCAACTTGCCAGTAACCAGAAGCTAAGTCAAGAGTAGAAAACCATTTGGCACCTTTGAACTTTTCAAGAATGTCATCAATAATAGGGAGTGTGTAGATATCCTTTTCAGTAACCTTATTAAGTTTACAGTGGTCAATACAAATTTGCTTCTTTCCATTTTTCTTTGGAACAATAACAACTGGAGAGACCTAGGGGCTAGTAGATTCTCAAATAATTCCTTTTTTCAATATGGCATTAAGTTCATTTTTGATAAAATCTCCTTCAGAGGGGTGATTCAGTAAGTTTTTTTGTTTGATAGGTTCAGCATCTTTGGTTTGTATTTCATGCTCAACAACCAAGTATTCTTTTGTATATTGAGGTTAGTGTACAGTGATAGTAGTTTCTTTCATGTAATATTAGACTGATAAATTTGGTATGTTATTTGTATGTAAGTCTTTATTAAAAGTTCTTTGATAGAAGGTCTTTACATTTGATTAGGAGACTAGCAGTTTTTAGCATTTTTATGTTCATAATCTTTACTCTTTTGAGAGTAATAATAAAGTATGACTCAGGATGGTTTATTATTCTATCTTTGTGCCCATTATTTAGGTATTTAGAATTGTAAGTAACATTTTGGTCATATTTTTTTTGGACAGTTTTTGGTGGTGAATAGAAGTATCGGTGTGGCTCAGGGCCTATATGCACTTTTCAGGGTTTATAGTATTCGTCAAGTAAAGTATAGTGTCTTGTGCTTGTTTTGATATGGTCCCAAGGAAAATAGGAATTGTTACATTTTTTACTGATTTTTTTCTCGTTTAGGATTTATAAAAAAATTTCCAGATGCAGGAAAGAGTTTAGTATTTTAGTAAACAAAGTACTTATATATATAGAACAATTATTTTCAAATTTTTTTTCTAATATTTTTTAACAAATTACGCCCATTTTTTATTATAATTAAGTAAAGGTTTCCAATTTTCACTAGATATCTTGAAAAGAGATTCTATTTAAGGTTGTTGATTTTGTTTTTCTGGCTACAACTTATAAATCTTCAAATTTAACAAAAATATATCATAGTGTAAGGAGATCTAATAAAAAATTTATTATTCGTTGTGTCACGTCACAATTAGCTTTTTATTTTTAGGAATTTATAGTAACTTTTAGTTGCCTGTAACTTAGATTTTTCGCATTCATGCAATGAAACAAATAACTATAACTAAATATATTCTGATTCGCATTATATTTAAAAATAGTATTCATAATATTATTTTTCTATATAAAATTGAACTCCATATTCCTCAATAACTTTAAAATGTTCATCACTTAGTGTAAATCCACATAGTTGCCCTCGTTCTGTACGCTTTATAATAATCAGTTTATTTACTCCTCCTCCTTTATAACACCACCCTTCAAAGAATTTTCTTAAATAATCAGCACTAAATATCCATGGATTATAATAATTCATTCTAATTTCCATAGATTCAAGTGATTCCGGTACATTTTCGCCCATTTTGTATAATAATTCATTAGCATCAAATCTTTTTTCTCCGCAATCAAATGAAAATCTTCTTAATTCGTTAAAATTATTATTAAAAATTGCAATTACTTGTTCAGAACTTAAATTGTGTAAAGTTAATTTAGTAATCTTAGTACAATAATTTAAAATTGCTGAAAATGTATCAAATGCAATTGTGGAATGTGAGGAGTGTGAATCTAGAAAAATATTCTTTAAATTTGCACCGGCTGTTTCGAAAATTTTAATTATAAATTCTTGAGGATGCACATCATTTGAATATCTAGAATGGAAGTAATGAAAACTACTTAATTGAGTAAATGATGAAGCCAAGAATAAACAATTCGAGTTACGTAATCCAACACAATTATCAAAATAAAGCTCCTGAAGTGAAATAAATTGACCAATTGGCGATAATTTCCGCTTTAATTGACAGAAATTTACTGAATATAAACGAAGTCCCTTTAATGTTTCTTTTTGACTAATGATGGCCCATAATAATGAATTACAATCCAGACTATAATTAGTAAAAATTGATAGATTTTCCAAGCGCTTTTGAACTCTAATAAGTTTTGCTAATAATTGCACTTGAAAATATGAGTTCAATTTCAAATCCATAGTTAAAATAGTATCACAAATTAATTTTAATGATTCATAAAATGGATAAATCAGTTTATAATCTCCTATCGTCGAAGTAAAATTTTCTAATTTCTTAAATACTTTCGAGGCACTAGGTAACTTGAAAATTGAACCAATTAAATCACTATAATTTTGGAAATTTCCGGAAAAAAATATGATTACTGTCATCTTAAAAGAATCCAAAAATATACAACGTTCTATTATTAATTTACACATCTCACGAAATAATATTCTTGATCCGTTATCATCTTGATGAGGACTGATAATTTTTCGTGAATACATTGAATGAATGGAAACAAAATAAACTAAATTATTAATTATAAATTTATGAGTGAATGATGGATAATCAAAAGTGGCTTGAGGTGGTGATGATGATAAATCAAATCCATTTTGAACAAGTAAATTTCTAGTTCGAGCATCCATACATGATATATAAGTTCGAATACATAATGCTTTCTTTTCCAACTTCGTATAATCTGTACAACATTCTTGGCCCAAAGGTAAGTTCCAAAGTATCGGGATAGTAACTTTACACCAGATTCGATTAACTAACATTGATGAATATAAATCTTGAGTTGATTGAAAATTATTTAAAATAATAATCAATAATTCCGTGGATATTTTAGTTGCCATTTTTTTTTATCGAAGTAAATAGAAATTAGAAAATGAAAAAAAATAATAATCGTATCACATTTATATAATATTTATGTAACAACTCTGATGTAATGATAATGGTTACAAAATTGTGAATATTATTGTTTCACATCAAATTTAATTAGCAGTTAGCATCCAATGAAAATCTTAATTTAATTTTTTGTCCAGGGTGTAACTTAGGACCTTAAGCTTTTCGACATAAGGTATGGTGAATTTTGTGTTTTTTTTTTATTTAGTAAACCTTTTTAACTTTATAGTTTAATTAGATCTTAGCTTGAATCACAACTAGTAACGCTTTTATGTATGACTGGGACATAATATATTTCGTCAAATTCCATATATAGCATATGTAGTTGACATTTTTTTAAAAAACTGGTTTAATGCTTAAGGTTTATTATGGAAATTCAACATAAAATTAAATATCTCATTATTCCCGAAGAACACACATTCCAGAAAAAAAAAATCTTTAAATTTTTCTATCCGCTAAATATTATTCATTCAAATAAATCGATCAAAACAATAAAGCACTTATTAAAACTATCATCTATTAAAAACACTCTGAATACTGTAAAAGAAGAAGAAAAATTATTAATTCACAATTATGTTAGATATTTTGTCATGAATTCTATAATCCCTGCTCAAGGGACATAATAAGGGATTTATGCATTGCAATCTCCTTAACTTGTCATTTGTGTCAACAATATTTATAGTGACGCAATTATTATGTCTCATTAGCTTATTTAGTTATAAAAAAATAATATTAAAATTAGTAAAGGCAAGTATTTTTTTATTCCTTAGGAAAATTTTCTCTTATACCCTAGGAATCGGATATATAAGGTAGATTTACCTTTTTTTGATTTTAAATGATATTATGAATTAAGAATATTTCGCAAATATAATTCTGATAATTTTATTATTCAAAGGATTTAAAGAAAAAGAAACAAAATTATTTTTATTTATTTTATTTACTTTATCATTTTTTATTTATTCATTTATTTATTATTAATTATTTATTTTTTATTTTTTAATTTATTTATGAACCAATTACTCATCTTTGTTAATATTATTACAAGAGTTTTTTTTTAATTTGTGAAAATTGCTGTTTGAGGTGTGATTTGAAATACCACAGATTCGGTGTGAGGTAAATAGCCCGGAAGGCTAAAGGAGGAAGCTTGAAAGATCAAATGAGTTTCTCTCCATGACTTCATCATGATCTGAGCTGCGTTCCTTTGTTTTTTTAATTTCATAATAAAGTGATTCTTTTTTTACATCAAATTTTTTGATTTTAACCATTAATATTATAGAGTCTTGGTATTTTCTTTAATTGGATCAACAATGTCAAGAAGCAATAATCAAAATTACATTACAATAAAAATTGTTATTATTCTAATTTTCAACGAAGCAAACATCAAAGAAAATTTAGCAATAGATCCTTTTACACGAAAAAAAATATGTATCGGCCGTGAATAAGGAAATTAGTATTGAACCATTATCGGCAAATGTTTTTAAGAAACTAACCAATTTATATTTTTTTTTTACAAACGGTGCTTCAACAACTAACAAAGATTCCTTTTCAAATGTTATTGTGACTAATGAACTGCAGATTTGGAATGTTGTAAAGAAATTTATTTAAAATAAGAAAAATGCACATCGTCTAGTAGTTTCATGATGGCTATTAATTGAAATAAATATTGTTATATTCTCTCATGTTATGGTGATGGTTTTCTATTGGTCTTAGTAAACGCTCTAAATATATTTTTTACTTAACTTCCATTATTTTAAATTAAATTGACGAAACTATTATTTCTTAATTAACTATTTTTTTTAACTAACTATAACATTAAATTAGTTTTGATTAATTAAACGATAAATTCAACATGATATTTAATAATTTAAAAAGATTTAAGCTATGAAATAATATAAAGTTTATTACTTAACAAATTTTTTTTTTTATTAATAAAATTAATATCTAAAAATTGAAATAAATTTATATATACCGTTGATTTTTAGTATAGTATTCTCGTATTCAACTTAAAGTATTCTCATGCTGAGTTTGTAACATTTATTATTATGTTAACTAAATATTATTCCTGACCTGATCGTATTCAAAAATTTATTTAAATATATTTGTAATATTATTCTTTTATATCAATTTGAACTCCATATTTTTCAATTACTTTAAAATGTTCATCACTTAATTCAAACAGTCGCGCCTGTTTTGTAAGTTTTACAATAATTTTTTTATTCCTCCTCTTCTTTTACAACACCACCTTTATCAAATTTTCTTAAACTATCCCATTCCAACTTCAATAGTTTCAAGTAATTCTGGTAAATTTTTGGCCATTTTGTATAATAATTCATTAGACTCAATTTCTTCTCCACAATCAAATGAAAATCCTCTTAGTTATTACTTGTTCGAGACTTAAATTATATAAAGTTAATTCGGTAATCCTCGTACAATAATATAAAATTGCTGAAAATATTTCAAATGTAATTGCGGAATATAAATTTAGACAAATATTTTTTAAATTTGCATTGGCTATTTCGAGAATTTTTATAATAAATTCTTGAGGGTACGCAGTTTTTGCATAAAATGAATGAGTATAATGAAAACTATTTATATGAGTAAATGAACTATCCGATTTATGCAATCCATAACAATTTTCAATATAAAGCCCTTGAAGTGAAATAAATTGCCCAATTGGTGATGATTTCTCCTTGAAACTACGTATTTTAAACGAAGACTCTCCAATGTTTCTTTTTGACTAATGATAGCCCATAATAATGAATTAAAATCTAGATTAAAATTAAAATTAGAAACAATTGATAGATTCTTTAAACGTTTTTGAACACTAATAAGTTCTGCTAATGATTACATTTGAAGATTTGAGTCTATTTTCAAATCTATATTTAAAATAGTATCACAAATTAGTTTTAATGGTTCATAAAATGGATAAATCAGTTCAAAATCTCCTATCATCGAAGACTTTCCAATTTCTTAAATGCCTTTGGGCCCTAGATAACTTGAAAATTGAACCAATTATTCACTATAATTTTGAAATTTCTAGCAAAAAATTCGATTACTGTCATTCATCTTAAAAGAATCAAAAATACACAAGCTTCTATTATTAATTTACGCATCTCACGAAATAATATTCTTGATCCGTTATCATCTTTGCTGAGAACAAATAATTTTTCGCGGATACATTGAATAAATGAAAACAAAATAAACTTGATTATCCATCATTCACTCATAAAATTATAATTAATAATTTAAAGTGGCTTGGGGTAGTAAATCAAATCCTTTTTGAACAAGTGATTTTCTAGCTTGAGCATCCATACCTAGTGCTTTCTTCTTATAATTGTAATCTGTTAACTATCAATGATGAATATAAATCTTGAGTTGATTGAACATTATTTAAAATCATAATCAATAATCCCGTTGCCATTTTTCGTCAAAAAAAAAAATAATTAAAGCTCTGATGTTACCAAAATAATAATCAAAAATACACAACATGCACATGAATGGTCACAGATATTGCTACTATTGTTTCACATCAAATCTATTTTGTAACGTGATTTTTGTAACAATTACGTTCTTTGAGATAATAATTGTGTTTAACCATTTTTTGGATAGTAAAAGGTAACAAAGCCTCTAGAGAAGCTTTGGCATAGTGAAATTTTTCCAGATCAAAGGATTTACGAAGGATAGAAATTGTTGTAACGTTGTGTTACTTGGAAAAGACAGCAGGTGATCTTTGGCATAGTAAAATTTTCCAGAGTTCACACGCTTACTCAAAAAGTTTAACTATTTTTATAATTTTTCACGGTTACATCATTTGACTTTTAATGATTAAAAAAAAATAATGGCAGGTTTCTTATTTTTAACATCTGTGAAAAAAAAAATTCTTTGAGTGATTAATTAATACTGTTCGGAAGGTATGAAAGTACTTGAATTCTGTATTTATTTTCGCTAAGCTGGTTTACGAACGGATTGAAAGATTATTTTTTTTCTTTAATTACAAATACTCACGAATTTTTTATACTTCCAGAACTTTGAGACGTAATTTAAAATACATTGGACAAAGTTAACTGCCTTTAGCGACTAATCAAAACCGTTCAGAAGTTATGAAAGTACTTGAATATTTGTTTTCGCTAAGCTGGCTTACAAACGGATTGAAATACGAATTTTTATTTAATTACAAATACTCACGAATTTTTTTATAGCATTTTACATCCAAAATTTTGAGACGTAATTTCAAATGCAAATGCATTGGACAAAGTAAATTACCTTTGAGTGACTAATTAAAACTGTTCGGAAGGTATGAAAGTAATTGTATATTTGTTTTCGCTAAGCTGGCTTACGAACTGATCGAAACGCGAATTTTTCTTTAATTACAAATACTCACGAATTTTTTTACAGTAGAGTAAGTTTAATAAATACGGTAAAAATCATTTTTTTATCCTCATTTCAAGGTGCCGATACCATTTTATAATATAAAATAATTCTCTTGTTAAAATTATATGACTTTAAAATGTTCACTCCTTATTGCTACAAATTTTATTGGTATTATTAATATTATTAATGATAAAGAAAACAAAAGCAAAAAAGAATTAATCTTTATGGAAAATTCAACATAACCTATTATTCCCGAGAAACGTACATTTCTAGAAAAAAAAAGAACGTTCAAATTTTCTATCTGTTAAATATTAATCATCACTTATTAAAACTGTCACCTATTACAAATACTTTAGATATTGCAAAAGAAGAATAACAATAATTATTAATTTTGTTAGATGTTTTTGAGTTACTCTATAATCCCTACTTAAGAGAGATAAAGGGATTTAGAAAAATTATGCAGTACAATCACTTTGAATGAAAGCAATTTTGTCATTTTGTCATTTGTGTTAGCGGTTATTTAGTTGAGAAAAAAAATAATACTTACATGTGTTAAGGTAAGTAGTTTTTATTCTTTACGAGTAAAACTTACTTTTCGGAATCGTGTTCGTGGATATATATTAGGTTTGTTTGCACCTTTTTTCTTATTTTAAATGTTATTACAAATTGCTTTTTTTTATTTGCAGTTTTCTAATTTCTTTTGTGATAAACGGAACATAAGAATAATATTTTAGGTAAAATTTAAAGAAACGCATGATAAATACTATTTAGGAATCTTTCGTAAACTTAATTTAACAGTTATATTTTTCAAAGGACTTAAAGAAAAAGTAAAAAAAATATTTTTTATTTATTTCATTATTTTTTATTTTTTTTTTGCTTATATTTTTTATATTTTTTTTTTATTTATTCATTTTCCTTTTTACTGACAATAAAAACCAAAGTAATTGAACCAATTTCTCATCTTTATTAATATTATAACAGAAGTTTTTTTATGTGTGGAAATGGCTGTTTGAAGGTTGATTTTAGATTTATATACCATGAGATGATAAGTTTAATGATTAAAAAAAAAGATATAAACTATTTTGAGTTTAAATAGAAGTTATATTTAATTTTGAAAAAGACAAACAAATTATCATCAGTAAATGCGGATAGATAGATATCATTAGAGATAATAATATTCTATTTTTCTATTTTAGCACAAGACTAAAAGTTATATCGAAGATATAATAAAGATAAGAATAATTATATTACAAGTCGAACGAAAAAAGATTCTATGATACTTGATATGATGAAAATTTTGCTTTATATCAGGAGAGCAACTTTACTATAGAGTGTCCTGGGTTCTATTAGAGGTAAATTTCATATTTAGATCCATGGGTCTTTTCTTAAACTATTTTGATATGTATTCTTATTTTAACGTAATATAGTTCGTACAATTATATGGAAGCTCGTGTTAAAGATGATAAAAATTTATATTACTCTAAAGATTTGATGTGAGCTGATTTTAATGCTTTAATTGATGATTAATGATTATAATAATAGTAATCCCAAATATCTAATTTATCCTATAATCGTACAATGAAAGCTTTCCCCTTTCAAGCTGAGTTGAAACAAAAATACCTTTTCTTCTATTGCACAATTAAAACTTTTAAATTACAAAAAAAAATAAATTTGCTATATTACCGAAAGAGAGAGAAGGTTATTTATTTCTAAATTTTATTATTTTATTTATTTTATCTTTTCAATTTAATAATTGATTTATTAATCTATTTTTATGGAAGAACAACTGACAAAGTTACTTAAATTATTAATTCAGATAAAAATCTACAATTCAAACTAATCTATATAAATGTAATTTATACCTTTTATATTTAGCGTATGTATTTGATTTCGAAATATCTGAAGGTATTATTTTATTAATTTTTTAATACTTATTTAAGTTAATTTTATATATTTCATAATTATAGAATTTGAGCTAACTGGACTTAATGATATTAATAATCCAAAGGCAATAAATTATTTTTATTTATTCATTTTCATTCAATTTTAGTTAATCAAGAATATGGGATTGCTGGTCTTTCAAATTAGGGTATGACTAAATTTTTTTTTATTATTGAATTATTTATTTCTATATGTTTTATTTTTATTCACAATTTATATTATTATTTTAACAATTTGTGTATTTTATATTTTGCATTTACTTAAACAAAAAATAAAAATAAAAATAAAATAAAAAAATAAAATAAAAAAAAAAATAAAATAAAAAAAATAAAAATAAAATAAAAAGAAATAAATTAAAATTTTCTTGATATCAAGCAAAGTTCTATTATTTTAAAGGAAATTTACTACTATTATTTATAACTAAAAATTTTAACTTAACGTTAAATTAATTTGATTACCTACACAGTAAATTTGAAATGATATTTTAATTTAATAAATTTAAAGATTTAAGCTAAAAAATAATAAAATCATATAAAGCTTATTACTTAACAAATTTTTTTTTTTTTATTAACAAAATAATAAATGCTACTATGAACAAACAACTCTACTATAACTAATCTATTTTCTAACTCGTATTATATTTAAAATATTATTTGGAATATTGTTCTTCTATAGCAAATTGAACTCCATATTCTTCAATAACTTTGTAATGTTCATCACTTAATCTAAATAGTCGCGCTGGTGTGCGTTTTACAATAATCATTTTATTTCTTCCTCTTCCTTTACAACACCATCCTTCAAAAAACTTTCTTAAACTATTAGCATTAAATATCCATGCATGATACATTCTAAATTCAATAGTTTCAAGTGATTCAGGTACATTTTTAGCCATTTGACATAATAATTCATTAACATCAAATCCTTTTCCACAATCAAATGAAAATCTTCTCAATTCATTAATATTATTATTAAAAATTGCTATTACTTGTTCAGAGCTTAAATAATATAAAGATAATTCTGTAATCCTTGTACAATAATTTAAAATTGTTGAAAATATTTCAAGTGTAATTGCGGAATATAAATCTAGATAAATATTTTTTAAATTTGTATTGGCTGCTTCGAGAATTTTTATAATAAATTCTTGAGGATATGCAGTCTTTACATAAAATGAATGAGTATAATGAAAACTATTTAAATGAGTAAATGATGAAGCCAAGAATAAACAATTCGAGTTACGTAATCCAGAACATTTACAAATACTAAGCTCTTGAAGTGAAATAAATTGTCCAATTGGTGATGATTTCCGCTCGAATTGACAAAAATTTACTGAATATAAACGAAGTCTTTTTAATGTTTCTTTTTGACCAATGATAGCCCATAATAATGAATTACAGTCTTGACTATAGTTAATTGATAGATTTTCTAATCGTTTTTGGACGCTAATAAGTTTTGCTACTAATTTCACTTGAGAATATGAGTTCAATAACAAATCCATATTTAAAATATTATCACAAATTAATGCTAATGATTCATATAATGGACGAATTTGTTCATTATATATAATTTTCGAAGTAAAACTTTTTAATTTCTTAAATACTTTTGAGGCACTAGGTAACTTGAGAATCGAACCAATTAAATCACTATAATTTAGCAGCTCTTGAGAAAATTTTATGGGAACTCCAGTTATTTTAAAAGAAATCATAAATTTACAACGTTTATTTATTAATTTAAATATCTCACGAAATAATATTCCCTCATTATCAACTGGATAAGAACGAATAATTTTTCGTGAATATATAGAAATAAAATAAACTAAATTATTAATTATAAATTTATGAGTGAATGATGGATAATCAAAAGTGGTTTGAGGTGGTGATGATGATAAATCAAGTCCATTTTGAATGAGTATATTTCTAGCTTGAGTATCCATACATGACAAATATGTTCGAATACATAATGCTTTCTTCTCATAAAACACTGTTTCTTGACCGAAAGGTAATTCCCAAAGTATTGGTATAGTAACTTTACACCAGATTCGATTAACGAATAATGATGAATACAAATCTTGAGTTGAATGAGACGATTGAACATTTTTTAAAATCATAATCAATAATTCCGTGGAAATTCTATTTGCCATTTTTTATTATATCAAAGAGAAATTGAAAATTAGGAAATAAAAAAAAAAATAATTGCATCACATTTATATAATATTATGATCCAGGGTGTAACGTAATGATTACCAAAATAGTAATCAAAGATACACAACATAGTAAAAATTATTTGGATTATTGTTTCACATCATAATTTAAAATGTTCGCCACAAATTTTAAGTTAATGATTGTTTTATGCGTAATCTCCGAATTTTCTTAACCCTTCGAAAATTTTCTTAGAATAATAGTTTCAAGTGATTTTGGTAGCACCTAATTATGAAAATCTACTTTATTTCATTTTCTGGTGTGTAACGTAGACCTTATGCTTTTACGACGTAAGGTAGACCGTTTTATTATGTATTCTAAACTGTGCAGCATAAAAACATCATACTTTATGTTAAAAAAAAACTCGGAGGAAAAAAGGAAATGATGTTCATGTCTTTGGTGAATTTTTGAAATCAAAAGTTATGAGATGCACTTTGCGAGATGAACAATTTGTTCCTTCAACGATTTCATTTTCCGTAAAAGCCTTTAATAGAATTGTTACAAATGTATAAAGATTTTTTGATTTTCATGTTGTTTATTTTTTAAGGTTAATTTTTTATTAGATTGAACGAGAAATTGTTTGAAACTCCCAGAATGTGGATATTGAATTTAAATGAAGTAATTAATCTATAGTATTAAATTGAAATGGCTGATAGTAAAATTATAATATACATTATTATTATAAAAATCATCAATAGGTTTGATATTATTTTTCTAAGTGGTTATGAACCTTGTCGTAATGTATATTTGCAATTACGATAAAGTATTATTTCTTTAAAAAAAAAATCAAAATGGTAAATAATAATAATTCTTATTATTATTTAAAAGTAACTAGATTCTTTACTACGATCGTTTGATTGAATGAAAGGGTCATTATTTTAATAAATTATTACCGTATATATCTCTTAAATCTTTAATTCAGTTCCTCTCAATAACATTATTAAAAAAATCTTTACTTTGTTTTGTGTTTGTAATTTTATTTTTCTTGATTGCTTGCTTGACTTGTTCAAATTACAATTAATAATAATTTTTATTTTTTCTCTGAATCAAATAATTAACCTATTTTACTTTACACATTTTCTAAATTTATTAACTTTTAATTAATTCTTAATTTGAATAGCAACTTACAGTATCACGCTTTTTATGTATGTCAGGTACATAATATATGAGAAATTACATTTTATTAAATTTTTTAGTCATCATCAAATCATATTTTTCTTAAAAATTGGATTAATTCTTATTGGTTAAATAAAGGTTATATTATTATTATGAAAGATAAATTTCATATTTAGATTTTTATGGATCTTAAGCTACATTGATATGTATTCTTCTTAGTTTTAGCATAATACAATCTTAGGGAAGCTCGCGTTAAAGACTAATAAAATTTATATTATTCTAAAGTTCGATGTGAAGTAAATAGGCCCATTATGGAATTAATTTTAATACTTTTATTGATGAATAATAATAATAATAATAATAGTAATCAACCCAAATATATAATTTAAGCAATATAATCGTACAATGAGAGATATCCCATTTCGAGATGAGTTGAAAATGTTTTTTATTATACAATTAAAAATTTTAAATTATAAAATAAATAAATAAATAATGTTATATTATCTATATAATAATTTAGAATAATTATTTACAGATTAGAAAAAAAATAATAAACGAATAATAATTTTTATATTGGTCATTTCTAATGAGCTACATAAACTACAAACGTTATCTTTGTTCCAAATAATTTATGTAATTTATCAACAGCAGTAAGTATTGCATCAAGAAATTAGATAAATATTTGTCAAAAGTATAGTTTCTTTTCAATTCTAAATTTCCTTACAATTTCAATACAAATAATAAATAATTAATAAAATAGCATATAGTTTAAATAAAATTCATTAACAAAATATAAAGCTGCATGCACCATTTAATTAGATAATATGGGAATCCTGAAATTTTATGTAAAAAAATCATAAAACAGAATTAGATGTGTATAATTTAGGTATTATAATGTGGGAATCAATTACTGGTGAAACTCCCTTTAGTAATCATAAGTTTAATTCTAATTCTGATTTAGCTCTTTAATAATTAATGAATGTCGAACTGAAATTTACAAATATACTCAATATGTTATAAAATGTATTCATTATATAATGAAATGGATAAGCAACAACTTCAAAAATAAATTCTTCTCAATCAAGTTTAATAAAAGAAAAAGTTACTAAGAAGTCTAACCCAGTAAAGTATATATGTATATTTAACATTTCAACTCAACCTAGAAATGCCACAGAAGGTTATTTATTTTTAAATATTATTTTTTATCTATTTACTAAGTAAAGCTATCAATTCAAATAAATTTCTACAATTCAATCTAATCTATATTAATGTAATTTATACATTTTCTATTAGCATATACATTTGATTCTAAATACTTGAAGGCAATATTGTATTAATCCTTTACAACTTCTTAATTATAGAATTTGAGCAACTATTGCTAAATGATATTAATAATTCGAAGACAATCAATTAATGTGATCTTATTTTATACCATTCTGCATTTCATAAATTTATTTTTTCATTCAATTTTAGTAAATCAAGAATATGTGATGTGGAGTTGCCGATCTTTCAAATTTGTGCTTGCAGTTTAACCCCAAAACTTCCATAACTCACTTAGGGACCTAAGTTCACTTTGTTTTAAATATATACTTAAAATATACTTACTCATTACCTAAATTAAGTATTTTTTAAGTATATTTTAAATATATTTTAATAATATTTCAGTAACATTTTAATTATATTTTAAGTATTTTTTAAATATGCATATTTCTTATAGGGCAAAGCAAATTGGTAATCAGGTGAAATGTCATGGGGGATGATATTTTGTGACACTAGATGAGCTTTCAGGTAATTGTTATTTTTGTGTAGCCATCCATAATATGCCATACGAGGATGAAGGATGAAGGATGAAGGATGAAGTACAAAGATAAAGGATGAAGGATGCCATATGAGGATGAACGATGAAGGATGAAGTATAAAGGGCGAAGGATGAAGTGTAAACAAAAGAGAAAATATAAATATGACTGTTGTTGGGAGTAAGCTAGGAGGGAGACAGTTAATAACAGTCACAAGTTAATCAGAAATTAATTAATAATTAGAAATAATTCAGAATAATTTGAAATACTTTAATAAATATTGAATAGAAAAATAAACTTCCTTTGATACTTCACTTTTAAAAAAAACTTTATATTTAATATTTTAATAAACTTATATTTTGTGTTGTATTATTGCGAAATACTATTAAATATTGTTTAATACTGCATTACTACTTTTACTTCACCTTACTCATTGTGCCTTCATTATTAATTGATTATTATTTGATTATTATTATTATTTATTATATTTATTATCTGTTTCGAGATAGGCCAGTAAATCAATTGTATTAGCTGTGACCTACTGGCAGATAGAGTGTATTATTATTTGTTTGTGTGATACAAACTGAGAGACTAATTTGAGAAATTGTTTGAAATACTCTGCACTCCTGTGACAATATAATTAAGAAATCAAACTCTTGCTAAATTATACAGATAATGATTTAGAGATAATAATGACTTACAAACTCACAGCCTTAGAAATTTGCAAGCTCAATTAGCAGATTCATTTAATTTAAATAAAAATAGTATGCATTTTTTATTTCATATAAGTTTCTATTATCATGAAATATTGATTAAAATTAAAATACCATCTTTTTTAATGCAATAATGTTAATGATTTTAATTAAGGTAATAATTTATTAACTTTTATCTGTTACATTTAATAAAATAATTAAAATCTATTCTTATTCTTTAGCAAATATATTTGATTTTTTTACATTCTTCATTGGATATTTTTAATTTAAGAGTAGTAAATTATTCTAATCCATTATATTACAGTCATTAGTTATGAACCTTATGAACAAGAAAGAAAATTTGGTTTCGTACCAAAGCAGTTGTGGAAACAAGATTGCTTTACTCAGGGTATGAATTTATCTGTTATAAGTAATACAATAATTATAATCTATTTCTTTTACTTCATGTACTTCTTTCACTTGGATAAATTTATTTCAATTTATATTCTTTGCACCTCTTCAGACTAAAGAAATAAATAGAATATTTTTTTTTTTTTGGTATTTCTAGATTTCTTGATTATTTTAGTGTCCAACATCGACTACAACTTTTTAATTATCTAAATTATAATTTTCATGATGCCATCATATTCGAGGCATGATCAGAAATAATAAAAATGTATTCATAGAAAGATAATTTTTATAATATCTGACAGTTGCACCAATTTTCGGGAATCGTAAATTCAACAATATAATGATAGGTTTGATTACCTTCTCTATTTTTTAAGTTTAAGGTGTCATTAATTTTTTATTCATTTATTAACAGAATTTATTTCAATAGAGTTTTATTCTTTCTTTTTATGGTTCTAGGTTATTTTTCTTATTGTGTTATATTAGAATCATTCATTGTTTCATAAATTAATTGTTTAATCTTCAAAATGTTGGTTTAATTTGGAGCAGTGAAGTTGTTGCTAATATTTCTATGATTTCTATGGGATGAGATTAAAGATAGAAATAATATATAGATCGCTACATTACACCCATGACCTGAATGCATCATGAATAGCAAGTTTTTAAATATATTATCATTGCTCTTAGTACTATTTCTAGTAAGATTAATAATATGCAAAAACCATTTGAAGAATTTTTCTTCTATAGACTAAATAAAATTTGTAATTAAAGCAAACTTCTTGATTAAATTAAAAACTATTATGGCACTTGTGTGCTACCATCTTTTAGAATATCCGGAATGATTCGTGTCATCATATTTTGTTTTTTTTTTTGACTGGTTCTGATAGTTATTATATTTATAATTTGTAATTTATGCATCATTGATAGTAA